ATATCACAATGTTTGCTAGAACAAATTAGATACGAAATAAAGATTATATTTATCAACTTATATTTTACTTATATGTTGAAATTTGGGATCACGTGAAACCCACCTCTTTTCATTAAACCATTTTTTTACACCTGAAACTTCATAGCAATACACTAAATGTAACCTTCACAATGTTTTTGTTATGAATGTTCAAAAGAATTTTTTTTTTATCTTCACAATGTTTTGCTTTGAAAAGTTTCAAGTGTGAAAATGTGGTCTCCCGTCAACTCATCCCTATATGTTGATGTTTAACAATATTATTGTAGTTCAAAATGAATTTTTTTTACCATTTACTCATTACCGTTTCGTTACCCGTCATCTTAGTAGATAAGGTATGGATATGGATAAGAGTTTTAAGATATAGATAATTACCTTAAGCCCTATTTTAAATGGATTTGATGACGGATTAATTCTTATCCTACCCATTGCCAAAAATTGGTGCAAAACGGCTATACATCCGTTACCTAATGCTAATTGCTAGAAAACTTGAATCCTTGTAGGGTTGGGCCAGGCCCAAAAGCCCGGTCGGTCCCTTTACCGAATTATATTTTGAACCTTAACCGCACCTCACTGGTCCTAGTCTTTTCCAGCCCTGAGTCTGAGTCCCAACCCTAACCGGGGCAGGGCCCAATTTGGTCATATCTAGTAAAGATCTATATTATATATAAACGGTAGTTCCTCATTTATAAATTATTCAAGTAGAGTAACAAAGAATTTAAAGTTGTCTCCGTTTTCTCTCTCTTGAGTTATTGCTTGGCCTTTGTATTCCAGGTTTGCTTGTAGAAAACACTATGCACCCTGATTATCTTTATCTCAAAGTATTTATAGACCCATTTGGTTTGATGAAATCTTTTTTTTAGGAGTTGGATTTTATGGAAAGATTTGGAATTTTTAGATGATTTGGAATGAAATTGAATTCTATTTTTTTTATAAAAATAATTTAGATACCTTTTTATTAATTGATAAGTGTTTTAACATATTTTAAACCATTATTATAAGCAAATCCCGTGAAATACCAACATCCCTTGGGATTTCATAGTACTAAGTTTGTAGGATTTCAATGCCAAGAAATCTTTCAAACCAAACATGGGATTGAAATGACTTCCAATCCCTCCAAATTCATCCAATCCCACAAACCAAATGAGACCTTAAGGGGTGTTTGGTTCATATAATGAAATTTGACAGAATTGGAATTCATCAAAAGGAATTAGGATGGAATTTGACCACACGTTTGGTTGGTAGGAATTAGAATGAAATCTCTCAATAGAATTGGAACAATCGTCTTTATTTGGACTATCCCACCCATCGCCTCACCCACACCCTACCAACCACCATCTCACTATTGTCGTCGTCACAACTATCGCTCCGCCACCCCAACCCTGCCCCCACCACCTTTGCTTCCATAGGTGGGGTTGTTGAGGGCAGGTAGGGTGGGGCCAGAGTGGAGCAATGGGTGGTAGCTATATTGACTACAGTGGTAGGTTGGTGGTTAGTGGTGGGTTGGAGTTAGGTAAGGTAGGGAGGGGGTGGGGTGGGACCGTGACGGAGTGGTAGCGGTGACGATGATAGCGGTGGGATAGTGATCGGGATCCACCTGGGAACGGGTGGGTATAACAACAATAGTGGCATAGTGTTTAGTGGTGGGTTGGGATAGGGTGGGATGCGAGTGCGGGTGAGTGGCGGTTGTGAAGGCGACAATAGTGGTGTGGGGTTAGCTTAGGGGAGGGGGGTTAGGTCAGGGGAGAGGAGGGGGGTTAGGTCAGGGGCATGGCGGTGAGAGGGTAGCGGGGTGGTAGTTGCGACGACAATAGTGGTGGGATGGTGGGATGGTGGTCGGGTGGCTGGGAGTGGGTGGGTATGACGACAACAGTAGTAGCATAGTGGTGGGTTGGGGTAGGGTGGGGTGGGGGTGAGTGGCAATAGTGACGACGATAATAATGGTGTGGTGGTGGGGGTTAGGTTAGGGGTGTGATAGTAACGGTAGTAACACGGTCGTAGTAGGGATATGCAGTGAGTGACTGGGGGTGGGTAGCTGGGTGTGATGACAACAGATGTGCCATGGTGGTTAGTGGTGGGGTGGTGTGGGTGGCGGCGACAATAGTGGTGTGGTTAGGGGTGGGACATGACGAACAATAGTAGCATGATTGTGGTGGATGGTGATGGAATTCAATTCCTTCCATTATGCCAAGGAATGATGAATTCATTAATTTGTGGAATTCAATAGAATTTAAAGATTCCATCCATTTCAATAAATGAACCAAACAAAGAAATTTGTCATTCCAATTGCATCAAATTTCTTTGAATTCCGCGAACCAAACGGCCCCTTAGAGTCTTATGCCGTGTTAACAAAAACTTACTTGCATAAGTCACCATCCCTACTTACCTTTAGTAACATTCTCAGCCATCAAAACGGATTGTTGGTAAACTTCTTTTATCCAATACGCATTTATCGCGTAAGATTCCTTGTCCTTATCATGCTCAACCGGTAAGGTAAGTGAATAAGCATTTAGCTGGTAAGCGTTTAGTAAACGGTCATCTACTCCGTCAATACATATAGATAGTAAGAAGGTTCAAAAAATATGATTCCAAGTTTCTGATTATGAAAGGTCAAACCAATTGAGGATTCAATAGTTGATTTTATATTAAGTCCTTAATGGATAAAGTTGATTATGTGAATTAATTTGTTTGTATAGATTGGGAAGGTTTTTATTTGGGAGGAGTAGGTTTAGAAAAAAAAACACTTAGGCTTTCTGCATAAAGCCCCTTCTAAAAGCTTCATGAATAAGCCACTTTATATATCATTAAGCCACTACCAAACATTCATGTATAGCTAACTGAATAAACTTCGAGTCTCATTAAGCTCGTTAAATAGATACTAAGGGGCCGTTTTCTAAACGCTTACCTGGTAAGTGCTTACTGGTTCATTTTACTTAAGATGAACATGATAAGGATTAAGAATCTTACTCAGTAAGAGAATTGACAAGGAGGTCCGAGAGTCTTACCCAGTAAGGGAGGGTCACGACTCCTCCCCGATATGCATACAATGTCGTTTCAATAGATTCGGTAAGTTAGATTACATATGCCGGTAAGTAAAGTAAGAGTTCGATAAACGCATCCTAAGTTTCTTATTGTTGAGAAAAATATAAAATGACATAATAATCTAACTTAACAGATCAAGATCGAGTTCATAAAAACTTGTGTTGAGCGTAATTCTGAAATATATTTTCAACCTAATTAAGCACAAAAAAGGAGGATGAATTGGTAAGAAAAGGAGGCTAATTAGTGTTCCATCAAAAACCATAGAATCTAAAATGTTTTGGAAGCGAAAGTTCCTAAAAACAAAACTACCTCAAAATCAGTAGAATCGAACAACAATGATGATTCAATCAAATTCAAACACACACATAACAGATTTAATGTTGCATATATTTCTTGAATTTTTCAAAAAGTCAGAAGGATTATGCATTTCTGCTTGTTGTAATATCCTAAACCTAGAAATGTTTTCACAAATTTAACAAAATTTGAAGGAAGCGAAGAACTAACTAACTCATAGCGCTTCTTCAAATTCTGATTTCTGTTTCTTCTTGTTCAATTCTTCCTCGTATTTCCTCAATCGTTCATCCCACTTCTCCTGAAAATTTCAATGATGAAACTTAGAAAACCCTAGATTGAGGTAACAACATTACAATTGACGGAGAACGTAAAGGAAGAAATTCACGAGCGTGAAGACACGATTAAGGAGTAGAAAACAAGATCTACGGAGAATAGAAGCACCTTATAGCTGATCTCGAGGCGGTGCATGACATAGAACCCAACACCACCGCCGGCGATTGTCCCTGCTATGATCCTAGCGTATCCCCATGCCATCGATCTCACCATTCTCTTCTTCTTCTCCTTCTCCCTCACAATTCACAAATACAGAAGAATCGCAGATCGCTACTTTGCCACCGGTGTTGTTCTTATAGGATTTGGGCCTTTTTCCAAAAGGTTAAGAATGGGATGGATATCAGGATTCAGGCCGCTTTACCGGGTTCTTTGTTACCTCTTAATCGGTGGATCTTATTTGGCAAAAAAAAATCTACCTTTTAATAGTTTTAAAACAATTTGAATGATTTTATATCTTCGGTTTCTTTTAACCATTCAACGTCTAATTCATTGTAAATAATTACCAAACAATTATATTTCATTTTGTACCTAATAAAACTAGACGGTTCATCCCGTGTTCATTTTTATTAAAATATGACAAAAATGATACAAGTTATAACAAGGGGAACGCAAACCATGGTCCTCATATAACAAAACATAAAATGCATCGCCTAAAAGTCTAAAACGATGCCTTCGTGTGTGTTTTGAACCAAAATTAGCATCACAAACATTACCAATTTTCATCATCACAAGCATTACCAAAGTTGCATCGGCTGCCAAACTAAAAATCTATCGAATATTGTTGTAATAATAATAACTACTGCTTACTCTTATTTCTAAAAGTTCATAATAACATAGAGAAAAGTGTGCAGTGACTTCAGGTTGTAGCCAAAGTCACATGAATTATACGTGATTTTAGTATAAAATCACATCTGATTCAACCGTTTTTTTTTTTATTATTATTCTCGTATGAAACTCGGTATATCTATAACTAAAATGGCACATTTAGAGTGATGCTGATAATATTGCTATTTTCAGTATCATACAGAAAATCCAACTACATTTTCTTCATATTACAACTCAAATTTAAGAATCCCAACCCTACACATTAATACTCAACAAACATCTCCATCCCCTTCAAAATATACAGGGAGAATTGGATATCAAATATATATATACATATATACATACACACATACATACACAACCATCTCTAACCTCTAAATATTGTGAGTACATATATCATACATACTCCATTTCTTCATTATGCACCAGAAATTCGAAAACCCGAAAGCTTCCATAACGACTAACCTCGATCATTTAGCCAACGATGTTTCAATCCGCTTCAATTTCATCGCCTTCGGCTTCGAACCTGGCGCAACTTGCAGCAATCGCGACATCACGTATTCCAGAAGCTCTTCACGATGAGAGAACGTAAAATCCAAATGAGCATACTCGAATTGTTTATAAGACGCATCTACGCCCGCCTCTTTCATCGTCTTATAATGTTTTCGAATCATCGATGGAAGGATCACCTTATCTTTCATCCCCGCAACCAGATCCACCGGAATATCGATCAGGTTATAGTGTTCCCCAAGATCCAACGGCTTGGGTGCACCATACACCAGCATGTTAGCCGCACGACTCCCGTAATCAAACATCACGAATTTCCGAGCGTGTTTCATCTGAGCCAAATGAAGAGCGACTCCAAAAGCGACGCCGGGCATGTCGTTCATGTTATAATGAGGTAACCCCATGACTCCGACCCAGTTGGAGCAATCGCCACCGATTACATAACTCACCAGGGTTTGGACCAGCCCGCCAACAGCTGGGTAATTATGAAGATCCCGAGCCAATTTGTTGACCAGCATGCGGAAAAACCTCGTTGGTATGTACAAGCCGGGAAACAGAGGTGCCAAGATAGGAGCCAACCAAAGGCATGAGTACTCGATCACTGTGAAAAAAAACGGTGAATCATGATGGAATCCGGCTGGTGATAAAAGGATTAATCTTGATAGCCGGTGCGGAATTTTTTCTACTCGGCGCGTTATGATGTACATAAGAATCGCAGCTCCTCCCAAGCTGTGGCAAATGGCACAGAGTTTATACGGTTGCTCGGGATTTGGTTCTTCGGTGTCGGGTTTGGCGGAGGATTTTAACTCGGAAGTTTTCACTTGGTGAATCTTCCCTATTAAGGCCGGTAAATCTTTGGTTCCATGCTCGTTGATGGAGTAACGCCAATACCTGCCGAAGGATGTCAACTTCTCTACTAAATGTGAAAATTAGAAAAAGACAACTGTAGCACAGAAACAACCACTCTGCTCCTTGGGTAGAGGACATTACAAAAAACGACTTATAGGATGCCAGAGATGTCTAAATATTGTAACAGATTGCTTTATAGGACCAAACAATTGTGTGTACTATATGAAGGTGTTACAATAGGATGTTATAACGAATTTGGACATCCTAACAAGTTTTTAAGACACTTTTGAAATAACATGTCATATTAGTTTATTTATAGGACACTTTGATAAATGTTTTATGGAAGCATCTTTTTACAGCGCACTTGTTTTTATAACACACATTTTCAAATAAGGTCAAGAAAAAGAACAATAGGACGTTTTATTTCAAAATTGTCCTATAAACTTGTTAAGACACCCAAAATCGTCTTTATCAACTTATTACAACATCTTTACATAAAACGCACAATTGTTCGATCCTATAAACTTAAGTATGATAAAACAATCTACTATGACATTTAAACATATTTGGCATCCTATAAAGCCAATTTTATTGTAGTGAGACAGGTCTGCATACATCCCATCTCCACACACCACCTCCAGGTAGAATAAACTGGGTTCTTTTGGTTTCACTACAATGTCTGCAGTCCCTGAACAGAAATATTTGCATATCGTAGGTTAAAGTTCTTATGCACAAGAGACTCCAACAAACTTACTTTCGTGAAGATATTTTTTTGTCAACGTGTTCTCTGGAAACCAGGCCACGAAAATTACCAAGAAAAACATCATATCCTGAAAGAGGCCATGTTTAATAAGACCATACCATCGTAAACATATACATATATATAGGGTTGGGTTCAGCCTGTTTTTGTGAGTCCCATAAGACTACAAAATAACACTGAAACTTCACAGGAAACATTGTGAAGGTATGAAAAACACCGAAACTTCACACCAAAAACACTGTGAAGATTACCTTCACAGTGTTCTGCTGTGAAGGTACATTGTTATTTATGTGGTCGGGTCTCACGAAAACAGCTTGGTCTCACATAATCCCAATGCTATATATATATATATATATATATATATATATATACACACACATATGGGGACGTTTCATTTATAAACCATCCAATTCTAACAAACCATACAAACCATAATCAATGCTTATATTAGGTAATATTAGAGATATTTACGAACAATTATCATGATTCATTAATCAAGATTAAGATATATATGGGAGATGATAAGGTTCATTCATTATGATCATGGCTTTAGATTAGGAAACAAAATGAAATCAGATACTAGATGGACACTAAGATTGGTTTGTATGGTTTGTTAGAATTGGATGATTTGTAAATGAAACGTCCCCTGTATATATAAGCAAGTTTGTGAAAGATAAATATGACAGACCTTGATCAAAAGCTGCAAAAGCTGGAGAGCCGACCACTCCATTAGACACCCAACTGGCGGTGAAAAAACAGAAACTACGATTAACAGATGAAAGCATTCATATTGAGAACATTAAAAGATGCATTCCAGTTTCACATTAGTTTTACATGAAACTTTGGATCAATATCAAGCTTCAAATTTTAGATATGATAGAAATATAACCGAAGAATGGCTAATTATCAACGAGCAATTCAAGAATAGGGTCGGGTTCTGGTGAGAAGGGAAGTTACGGTGAGAAGCGAAAGAAGAGATCTCCACCCTTGGATCAATGCTAATTGAATGTCAACACTAATGAGGTGCACCGTGATGCACCGGATCAATTCCCTTCTAAAACGCAATTCATGGGTGGTCATGAGATTAAAAGCGATCAAGGGTTCAGATCTCTTCTTATGCTTCCCATGATAACTACCCTTCTCACAAGATCCTACGCCTTCAAGAATATATGCATCTTGCGCATTTATTAGAGTTTCACATTAGTTTTGACTTGGATCTATTCTCCATTTCTCCTCAATATATGTTGGAACCTCCCTTCTCTTATCAAGGGATCTTTTTGAGAGTAATCTAATGGGGTTCCACATAATCTCACCTGGTATCATAGCTAAGGTCTACCACTCTAGGGATTCAACAATCTGGGGGAATTTGTACTCATCTAGCCCCAGTCAGCCCCCTCTGATAGTCCGCTCGTATAGCCTCCATTGGAGGGGGTGTCTTAGAGTCCCACATGACTTTGACCAGTTCCACATATATATTGGAACCAACCTCTCTTTTCTCCTCAAGAGGCCCTTTTGAAGAGTAATCTGATAGGGTTCCACATATTCTCATAGAAATGACCATGTTTAATGTCGAATTATACTTTTTTAAGTACACCATGATAAAGAAATAGTCTAACTTACCACATAGAAGAATCAAATACACCATGTTGCAGATAAACAGCTTTTTTTGAATCACGTCTACGGCAAGAAGAGAGCGTTGTTAAGCAAAGGAACTTTATGGTAGATCTGCGAGAAGTGAAATTGCAAAAGAATATACGAGAAAAGAACACGTCTACCTTGGAATTCTTTCCAAAAGGAGAACATATCCATCAGATGTTACAACATTAATGGCTTCATACGGGTACCTGGAAATTTTATGGTAAGAAAATCGTTTAGGCCTCAAAGAATGATATCAAACCTGTATATACGTAGGAACCAGTTCTTTAACTATAAGAGCAATTTTAGAGAGAATTCAAAGGAATTCTACATATCTTATGGTCAAATGGGAAACATTTCAAGATTCATATACAAGTAAGCAGCGATCCTCTAATCAAGTTTTCTAAAAATCAAATTCGGAAGTTGAATCTAGGGCAAATTGCATGAAAATGCAACTTAATTTGGTCTACCTCCTATTTTGGGTAGCATTCCTTCAAACCTTCATTTCGGTACCTCAAATGTGACATATCAAACATTTAGTTACCTGGTTTACATCAAAGAATGCATGAAAACTCGACGAACCAAAGTGTGTTATATTTTCATGCAATTTGCCCTTGAATTTACTACTAATGAAGCCCTTACCCAAGCTCTGTGATGACATCTCGACATGTCCGAGCATCTATGTTCAGCCTAGTACTTAAAGTACTTTTCTTTTCCGTCACTGTAGGATCAGGGTCAGCGAGAGTAGAAGTGACAACAGAGACACCTGGATCATTACGTGGAATCTTTCCACTACCACTAGAAGAAGAAGAAGACCATCTTAGTAACATCCTGAGAGAGTCCAATGGAGAAAGAAGACATCGGGCTGCATGGTGAATACCATCAAATATGGTTTCTATAAAAATCTCTATTCCTAGATGAAGATCCTGATAATATAGAAGAAACCATGTAAATTATAAGTTATGATCCTGTAACACCAAGTTTCCATAACTATGCAAGAAGAAAATAGGGTGCATTTGGTATGCAAACAGGACTAGACATGACGGCAAAGGGCAAGAGTGAGGTAGGCGGATGAAAGAAATTTGGAAGGTTTTAGAGTTTTAATTTGACATGGGTAGTTTAGTAATTTACCAAGCTTGTCACGTCTAACTAGATTTTTGTTCCACCTATTTTGATGTATTTCTGTCCCACTCAGTCCTGTCAAGTCTTAGTCCAATTGTCGCAACAAATGTGGGACAAGTTTTTGTTTTATCTATCCTGTCTTCTGCTGTCCCACGTACCGAAAATGCCGAAAAAATGCATTTGTTTTGTTCCACCTATTTTGGTGGGACAGAAAAATGTATTTTTTGTCCCACTCAGTCTTGTCCCGTCCCAGTCTAACCGATACACCAAATGTGGGACAACAGGTTTTTGTTCTGTCCTGCATACCAAACACACCCATAGAGACAAACCTCTATAACACCGCGTCGTCTGTCAGTAGCCCGTTGAACAACATGATCCAATGCTTTCTTGGCAGCATGTGAAGTCTGCACCCTTCTGGGGTTGGTAGTATGTATCCTTGCACCTCTATGAAAAATGGCTTTATACACATAAACGGGTATCCACAGAATCAATCTTAATGGTATCAGAAGAAACTTTAATATGGATATAATCCAATGTGCACGACTCCTTTCACGCTTGGTGAAGCTGCTTGCTCTGGAGATATGGCACCTTGCCGATAATGGAGTTGCAGGATATATGCAATCATCGTCATACTCATCTATGTCATCTCCAGATGAATAATCTACACTTGATGCTGAATCATAATCCAGTTCATGAATGAAGTGGTTAAAAGACGACACCCCACTACCAAGAAAATAGACATTGCAATATGTAAGAAATAAATCAAGATGAAAGATTAAACATTATATAGAACATAAATCTCCTTCAGATAAGTTTAAAACATTACAAAGAACATATATTAGAGCAAACCAAGCAATCCCAGTATATCCTATCCCACCTCTAGAGATGGGATCCGGGGAGGGTGAGATGAACGCATACCTGACCTTTATCACAAAGAGTAGAGTAGTTGTTTCCGTTAAGACCCCTGGCTTAGTACAAAGTAAGCAAAAAAAAAACTTGCCCAAGAAAATTGCGAAAAAAGAACAGTTGAAAAAGAAGACTTGAAAACTAGAAAGACGGTGCTAAAATTTAGAAAACGAGTTAGATGTAAGCAACAAAAATCAAAGAGACACGTAAGGGCTGTTTGGTTACTTGTTGTCTGTGTGGATAAATTTGTCTGTATAGATTGGGAAGATTTTATCATAGATGGAAGGAACGTGTTTTTTAATTGGGAGAGGCAGGTTTGGAAAAAATTGACTTTCTACATAAAGCTTCCCCCCCCCCCCCTAGAAGCTTACTGAATAAGCCACTTTCTATATCGTTAAGTCACTGCCAAACAGTCATGTATAGCTGACCAAATAAGCTATGAGTCCCATTAAGCTCATTAAGCTGCTAACAAACAGGCCTGTAAACAAACACACAAACTAGAGCAGGTGCAGGAAAACATATATTTGAGCATAATCAACAAGAGACTTACTCCTCCATCCAACGTGGAAGTTTGGGTCCACGAAAAGTTGGCTTGAGCTCCCAACCATGAATTCCTTCAAGAATATTAGCTTTCCCGGGCAATATAGCCAACAATAGTGCAGATAATCCATTTATCAGCCTCAGTATATTACTTAATGACTCGTAAGTAACGGTCTTCACAGACCTGAACAAAACAAAACATCTTTAGATAAAACACACATACGTCTAGAACCATTAGTGCATAACATGATGCAATTTATGACATCAAAAGTTCACACAAGCTAGGCAGTCAAACATTCATCATCCCCAAAACTACTTTACTTGTAAAGATGCCACAAATCTCTAAGGTGCTGTTTGTTTTCTAAGAGGTGCTTGATAAGAGGCGGCACTGAAGTCTGAAAGCATAATCAATAAAACTGTTTGTTGTTGTAAACTGATAGATGTTTGAATCTGTATAATTATCTATTTTACCCTTCAAAATATTATAATGTTGAATTTTATATACATTTATACAATTTTAAGGTTAATCAAATGAGAGAGGAGTGATTGAGAAACGCCTGCTTTTGAGGGTTTGGAGAACAATAAGAGACAAATAAGGGGTTGGTTTACCTCTTACCGGATAAGAGAACGCTAAGACATAAGTGCCTCTGAAAATACATCCAACCATCATTATATCTCATGGAAACAGCCTCTCTAGTCTACACGCTTTGGGGACGAGAAAAGATATGTATACATCATACCCAAAAGCCCTACCTCTGTGTCGGATTTAGTGAATTTGTTTGATTTGTTTATCATTGTCTCTTACCACAGATCTTCTTAATAGACAATGTTAGCAATTATTTGGGGATTTTAATTGCTAAGCATTCATGACTATCCATTCTAGACAACCTTTAGCATGAATATACATCCAATGACCATATTCTCTCTCTCTCTCTATCTCACATACATATATATAGCAATGGCTCTTCCATATCTGTTCGATTGTCATATTCTCTCATCATACATTTCTTATCATCCAAGATTAGCCTACATTAGGGTTACCACCTCTTAAATATGAACAATCCTATCTTCATTGATGTTTTCATGATCACAAATATAACCTAAAAGAAGAAAACAAACACGGATATAGCAAATCCATTTCTGATGTAAATGAGTAATTAACCAAAATCAAAGCATCAAACCCATCACTTAAACAAAAATTCGTATCGTTTCCCACAGAACCATTATACATATACATCTGATGCATGCATTCAACCAGCTATTTAGATATTTAAAAAATTGAAAACCGCAAAACCCTATTTTATTTATCTTCATCATATGAATCCATTGTAATCCCATTCGTGTTTTAGGGTAAAATTATCCCAAAATCCAACGTGATTCCATTAAACACCCAATTCATCCGTAGAGCGGTATCATAATATGAGATACAGAAATGATGCATTTGAAATTGGGGAGAAAGAAGAAGAGAGAAACCAACTCTTTTGTGACAGCGAGGAAGTTGTCAACGAGTCGCTGCATCATTTGTTTGATTGGATGCTTGGGGAGCAAAACAGAACCAAAACCAAGATCCAATTCGAAGTGAAAACCCAGAAGAAGAAATGAAAAATCGTATTTGATTCTAGAGAGAGAGAAAGAGAGATATCAGATATGAACGATAAATGCGGGGGAGGGAAACGGCTACAAGCCTCGCCGATTCTTGTCGTCCCGAAGGCGGGAGAACGGTGGGCTCCACACAACGATCTTCTTATGACGTGGCAGAGAATTTTGGGGGCGTTATTCATACACCCTTTTGTCAGAAATGATATATTGATCGCGTAAGCGACCTTTCCTTATTGATAAAATTCTAACACTATTGTTTATTTATCGGGTTAAGATTTTATTCATCTAAAACGAATTGTATGCAACAATTTATCTTGATAGGTGCTAACCATAGTAAGAACCTTTGTTCTTACTTATCGGATAAGACTTGAGATTCTTGTTTTCGTTCTTACCGGATAAAATTCTTAGTATTTGGCATGTTCATCCGTTAAAGTAAATTGACTTGATAAATGTTCATCTGGATAAGCGTTTGATAAACCACACCAAAATATTTATTTATTTTAAAAAATGTTCAAACCAGTTATAAACATAACATAAAGAGTTGATAGTTTTTCTGTAACTATTATTTTAGTTATTGACACGTGCATAAAATAAACAATGATCAGGAGAAATGAAACTGAAGGAAATGAGCTCTTTTTTTAGTTCATGCAAATTCATCATTTATTCAATCTTTTTTTGATTATCATGGCTTGAGTTTGAATAAGCTTTTTCGAAATTTCTGATCGCATGTTTGTTAGTCGTTTAATGAGACTTGTATCTTATTCGGTTAACGATGTAATAGTGGTTTAATGATATAGAAAATGACTTATTCAGTAAAAAAAATTAAGGGCATCCAAGGCTATGATTAGATTAATCTCAGTAAATTGTGACTATAAAAAATAACATTGATAAATTTAGTGACCATAATTGTTGTTCACGCCACGAATCAAACCCTAGGTAGATAGGATATTGCACCATATACTTCAGGACCTCAAACATTATGCTACAATCCTTTGTAGTTTTCTTTGGTAAGCTTCTACGTGAAGTTCAATATAAAAAACCAAGTTTTTTTTTTTCAAATTTGTCACTATCAATTAAAAAAACATGTTTATTTCATCTATGAAAAAACTAATCCTAACAAAACTCGGTTTTATCCGTAGAGAACTTAATGAAAAACAAACCAGTATTAAATTCCCTTTTTCTCTTGAGATCTTGAGCTCGATACAACTTCTTGACCAATAGTACTTAAATTACCGGTACATCAAGTCTCACAAAACATAAAAATATACCAAGTATTTATAATATATAAATATAGAGACAAGTTCATCTATTTTTGGAAACCCGAAGCCAATCTATTTTTTATAACACGATAGTTATTCATAACAAATGTCTTAACAGATATGATCATTCAAAGTTATTCATCAAATACTTAAAATAGTATATATGCTTCAAAAACATTAAATCGCTGTTTGATAGTTGTTGAATGATTTGATATAGAATAATTTAATGGTCAGAATAATTGAAGGACTCTTATAATATAATACAAACTGAAATATAATTGTTTAGTAATTGTGTACAATAAAATTATAGCACTGAATGATTAAAGGAGGTCTAGGATGCTAAATCATTCAAAGAATTTTAGAATCGAGGCAAACTATTTTTTTGCCAAACAAAACTCACCTCTTAACGATTGAAAGACTACCTCTTAATGAAACTATTAAAAAGTAAACAAACAACTCCTAAATTATTGTAAAATAAAAACATCAAACAATAACTAAAACACAATTTACTCGGAAAAATCTTCAAAAAGAATTAATCCAAACCAAACAAGTCATAATTTAAGATTTAGATATGCTGAAATTGAATGAATTGTGACATGTTCAAACCAAAGACATACAAGAAGCGTAACAAGTTCAAAAGTATTTTGTCTTTCCAAACCAAATCTTCAAAAATGGAAATTTAAATTTCTAACACTTCAGACATGATCACTTGTGTCTAGTTCAATCTCTGAGCAGCCTCCTTGGCAAGAACCCTCTCTTTCGCCTTTGTTTTCGCCTGCGATTTCGAACCCATTATCCCACCACCCCACTTCTTTCTATACTCCTCGTACTTGTCATTGAAGTTTGCCTGAAACGGACATACATACAATATCAGTTTCGAGTGAGATACGATGGGTTTGTTTAGTTCAGTTAAAGTATATATATGTGAATTGGACCTTGATGGCCTCCAAGATTCGGCTGAATTCCATTTTATCTTCGTTCTTGACTGTAGTCAAGCATAGTGCTGCTGCAGTTTTCTGATGGACAATCTGGCACACGGGAAAAGATTCGTTATTTCCCACCCAAACAAATAATTTACATGGTACAAGAACGATATGCTAGACTACACTTACAGTTCCTAATCGAGATTTCCCCTTCACAATGCAGTAGGGGATTTCCATCTTTCTGCAAAGTGCAGGAAGCCATACAACCAACTCAATCGGATCAACATCGTGGGCAATGATTACCAATTGCGCCTTGTTCTAACATAAAGCATGAAAAATGTTAAAAATTAACAAGCAAAAGAAAAGTACTTTGGTTTGATTTCTATTTTGTGTAACATACTTTCAAAACCTTCATTTTGATAGAGCATGGATGTGGCATCTCAAAACTTTTAGGTACCCGGTCGAGATCTGAGAATGCATGAAAATACAATTCACTTTGGTCCGATACTTATTTTATGTAACATAACTTTGTCTAAATGTTTGAGATCACACCTACCAAATGAGATTTTGAAAGTATGTTAAAGAAAATAGGAATATGTTGCATTTTCATGCATATTGCCTAAAAAATAATACATTCTAGTCAAGAGTAAATGGAAAACCTGCTCAATAAGGTAGGTGACATGGTTCAGACCATACTTGACGACAATGGGCTTCTTAGCTTCGGCTGTTTTTCCCTCAGACTCGGCCTGAGCCCTTTTCAGAAGGCGTTCCTTTTTGGCAGCCTTATCCTCGGGCCTGTACTTGAGTAGCATCTTGAACAAAGTAGTTGCTGCATATTGCATATACTTAAGTTTGTAGAAAGGATGAAGGACAAAAAGAATGGAAGCCGGTTATCAAATCAAAGACGTGTGTCTTTGTGTGTGAAACAACATTTTTAAGAGAATTTGTTATGACACAAAAATAGCTGATTTAAGATTGGTGAAACTAGTCACTGGTGCAGTTAAATCCTGGCTGGCAAAGCTAATAACTGACTACAATGTAGCATATTCATTAAGCCCATTTTCCACCATTATGGAAAACGAGACCCATAAAACTAACTTGTGAAATCAAATAGAATTAACTGATAGTAGACTTAGAGTGTGTTCGATACAGTGGACATGACGGAATAAGACATAGCAAAAACTTAGTGTCCTCCATTCGGCAACAGAAAATGACAAGACTCATGATTGTATAAGACAAAAAAAATGCATTCTATTAGCCCAAAATGGGTGGAATAAAAATTGGGACAATATTTGTAAGTTACAATACTACATATGTCAAATTAAAACACTAAAACCTTCCACACTTCTTTCACCTGTCTATCTCACTCTCAGAGTCCTCTTTTAGTTTTATATTGTTAACTATGGGTGTCTGGCAAATTGCGTGCACCTCGACTAATCCCAGGGCCCAAAAGAACAACCAAGAAAATCTCTGGCGGCCTTGCAGAACTCAAACCAGTGATCTATGAGGAGAAACCCCAACAGCCCAAGCTTTATTGCATGTTAAACCAAACCCACAAGGCCACAACCAAAATCCCCAGTCCTGTTTTAGTTTGGTTTGGTTTGAGGTAAAATTCAATTAAACAAATTGGCACAGAAAAGGCAAGAGTTATTAAGTAATGACTCTACACAAAAGGAAAAGGCATGCCAAAATCCTTAACAAACTGGAACATATTTTCCAATTTTCCACAGAACTACAATCAAGAAATAGCTTCCTACAGCATATTGACCATAACACCAATGGGTCAACAACTTCATTTTACATAAGAATCATCCGAGAGAGGCAGATGTTAAATTAAAGAACCACAAAGTATGTCTTAAAATACGGCAAATAACATGAAGAGAAATGGAAAAGAAAAAGAAATAATACCAAGATTTTTGTCAAGGGTCTTGGTAAACTGGTTCAAGGCGGGTGGAACCTTCAATCGCTGCTTGAGGATCCTCCTCTTTCTCTGGATTCTGACAACTTGCGGCCATCTTACAAACCTGTGTACATCCTTCTTAGGAGGCAAAGCTCCACCTATCCCAAACTGTTTTGGCCTCTTTTCGAACAATGGATTCACGACCTTCTCCTGGAGGAAGAATGAAATCATTTCATAAATATGTAAATAGAACACAACAATTACGATAAACTTCAACCAGAATGCCTGTTTTTCAAACAAGGGACGTTTGGTTTTTTAAGTTCAATTAGATTGATTCCAACTTTAAAATCAATTTCATTAACTCAAATTTACTACGAATTACAAAAATGCAACTGTTAGCTACTGGAGAAGATTGAACACAAAAATAAATCTCGGAAATCTTACGGTTTTCTTCTTAGTTGCAATCGGCTTTCCACCTTTCTTCGGAGCCTTCAAGAAATAAAAAAAAAATTACAAGTATGATCAGCGTCAGACAGACTAAATCGAGACTAAATCAAATGAACTTTCAATGATGAACATCAAACGAACGATTCTAACGGCAATTTAATAAAATTGTATGTAGATTTAGATAACCAACGTACATACATTCCTTTACAGATCTAATAGAACATATGATGATAGGTTAGACGGAACTAAGAGACTCACCATTGATAGAAATTGGGATTCAAGGCTTCGAAACGGCGATGATGAAGAACCCTAAAGACAAATGTACAAGGGTTTTCCTTTTTACCATAATAAAGACGAAGGTTTTATTTCTAGGGTTTGCATTCAAGCTCCGATTATAGTTGGGCTTTGTCTGGGCCTGGTTTAAACTTTCTATAACGGCCCAATTCAGCTTTACTTGGATAGTTGGATATAGAGATGGTAAATGGGCCCGGCTGGCCCGAGAACCAGGACCAACTGGTTAAGATGGCTTTCGTCAAAAAACAAGGCCCGGCCGAGGACCGGTTATGGACTCGGGACGGGACCGGCTCTATTTTTTTCAAAAAAAAAAGTATTTTTAAAATGTATTTCTAACTTTCTAAATGTATTTGATTGAAAATTAATTATGAATTTATAATAAAACGTATTTTTTAAGTGTATTTGATTAAATACCAATTATAAAACTACAATAAAATGTATAATGTATTTTTTAAATGTATTTGATTGATCTAATTACATATTTTAAAATGTATTAGGATAACATTAAAGTATTATTAATAAAAATTAATATAGGACCAGTTTGGGCCCGATCAGGATCAGAACCGGAACCGATTACAAGTACCCTTAATCGGGACTTACTATTTTTGATGGGACCAGTCCGGGTTGTTATTGTTTCGGCCCGAGACCGATTTAGGCCTGGCCCGAGACTGGTTTGAGTCTGACCCGTGACCAATTTAGGCCTAACCCAGGACCGGGTTTGCCATGTCTACTTGATAAGAAGATGTTATAAAATTGCATTTGTTTTTACTTATGTTTGGCTAGCTGATAAGTTAGCTGGTAGTTAATAACCTAGTTGATGGCTCATAAGCTAGTGGTTAGCTTATAAACTAGCTGATGAACAAATCATGTTTGGCAAAAAATAGTTGATAATAACGTAAAATAACCAAAAATTTATCTTGAAAATTAATCAATTATAATATTTCAAAATATAATTGAAATAAATCTATAATAATATAATATATTAACTAAGAGCATCTCCAACAACTTCTCTATAATAGAAAAATCGACTTTTTATTCTCTGTAATGTCGCAATAGCTTTCTTTCTCATCTATACTATATTATAAAACATTTGACAAAAACTCTTACAACCTATTTTTTATGCATGAAGTACTGTATATTGATGCATATTACTTAAAATTCAAGAACAAGTAAATTATGCATAAGTACAACTTATTAAAGCCCCATGTTTGAATTCGTGTAACTAACTGCGGATAAACATAGTCAAATAGAGAATAAACATCTCATTTTAAAATGTAAAAATCTAAAATTTATAATTAGAATAATTATCGAGTTCTAAAAAAATAATTAATTATTATCTTTATAAAAAATTATATTATTAAACTAAATATAAATTACTTCGTTATTGAAACTAAATTAAATTATAATAAAAAATTGACT